ATTATGATATTTATTCAGCCAAAAGTTGAGGCCATTTCCTAATATTTCGAGTGAATGAGAGTCTTATGTAAGACCAGATGATGATTGGCTCACCATTCCTCGTCATTACAAAATTTATCGATGATATTTTCAGCGAAGATTGGAGTACAGTGGGGCTATATATGCTGAAAGTTTCAGCTTGTTCTGCTGAGATTTCACCAAATAACGAGCCTACTCTTTCAGTGATTCCACAATCACCGATTATTTAAACCTTGATTTTTATATAAAAATGTGCCCCCCTATAATATTCTATCGATTGCTGAAAACCGCAGGTCGCTATGACTTTTCGTTCGAAAGTTATAAGCTTTTTTCCAGGTGCCTTCTTTTAAAATTCCGATAGTAGTTAATAATTAATTAAAATAAAGCTCCGATTCGGTTTCTACGGCTTCCATTTATCTTTCTCAACCTTTATGTCAAACAACTTTAAGTGGATGTTTTTTCGACTCTGTTGTTCTTTTGACCTTGACGCAAACACACACACATACAACCCATTTTTTTCACATGACGCTCCCTACAGTCGAGGGAATTAGAAAAAAAAATTTATTTCCTTCTTATTTTGTTTCTTTGTTTTACTTCGCCACGAATATTTATCTGAAATTATTCATGACCAATACCAATACAAAATTTGAATAAATAACTACTTGACAGAACGTTCTTCACGATTATTATATTGATTAATTATTTTATTTTTATTATCTTTCCAATCTCTTAATCATATATATTAACGTCCTCAACATATTTCATCTGCATTTGATGATAAAACTCTTCGTAAACCATTACCTATTATATCAATTATACTATATCTTCGATCTAATCATCCTAATCTATGACGTCTTGCACATATGGCTATTTCAACTGCATCATTACACATTTCTCCAAGACAACAACCACTCATTCTACATGCAAGAACAAGTCCACCTGATGAACAAGCAGCTATTTTATTATTAAGAATTTTTGGTAGATATTATTTAAATGTACATATAACACCAATATTATATAGACCTATAAATACACAATCAGATAATGATTTATTAATTGAACAATGGATTTTATTTCGGAATTATTCAAATATAAGAGCAAATATTTTCTCTTTTCTTCTTATTATGAAATCTACAAACAAATAAAACACGAAGAATATTTTCTATTCGAACATTTAACATTAAAAAATCAACTATCAATATTATCTTTTAAATATTCGTCTGAATATAATTACTATTTCATATTTATATATGACAACGAAGATCTCTGCAGGATATATATCTTTCAAAATAAAAGGATAATTATAACCTAATAGTAGGAAACGAGAAGTCATCTCAATGAGCCACATTAGACAAACACAACTACATCGTTTATTCTCTTTGAATAAAACAAAGCTAACGATCAACTCAATAACACTTTCGCTTTTTGGTTTTTTTTCTCCTCTTCAGTTGATATTAATGGATAGGTATTGAGTCATCTATTAGATATTTAAACAAAATCGGACGAGCAAACCAACGATCTACCTTTAAATGATGATCAAAAAGAATATCTTCATTATAGACAATTTAATTATAAATATAAACATTTTCATTTAAATATATCTCACCAATATAGGATTTTTTTTATTTCAATTATATTATCAATATAATCATAAAACGAACGAACGAACGACACGAATTAAATAAAAAACGTTTTATCTTACATTCAAGTTAATTTCACCATATCGGATTTATCCATATGTAATTGTGCGAAAAAACATACAACATTCGATTTATTTTTCATCTAAACATTTACCTTATGAAAATCAATATTATTCTTATTATTTTATTCACCAGATCATTTACTTTTCTTTTATCAACGAGAAAGACATACAGAGATGTGGCGACAGTAGAGGGATGTGGGTGAGGATTGCAGACGGACTGCAGAAAAGTATGAAGTTGGTGTGATGTGTGCATCAAGAGGAGTGGAATAGCCACGTAATATGTGAACTCTCTAGAGAATTCATATATTACAAAACATTGCACCCCCGTACCCTCTGTGTCGACACATCCCTGAAGACATAACCATTACACTTCAGTTATTTTTCTTTTCTAGGCGAGATTATGTCGACATAACATATATTTGCTCTTTTATCGTTTTCTTAACAATCGATAGAGCTATTTTAGAGAATTTTATTTATCATAACGAGATCAGATATATTATCTTAAAAAAAAAACAACGTACTTTTATAGAATTTAATCACCATATCATGTCTCTAGGAATTTTCTCCGAAACTCAATTAGGCCCTACTATAGGAGATATTCGAGATATAGGAGCAGGATAGTGAATTAACCGAAAGATCTATGATCTTTCGCTAGGGAACACACACGAACCAGTATTAGCCGGTAGGCTTTTTCTTATAGAAGATCTAATATATATATATATATATATATAT